GCACCAAAAAGTGTTCTAATGCTTAAAATAATTTTCTATTAAAATATAGCTTTTTATTTCTAATCTTGGCCAAATTTTTAACTTTTTATGATCATTAAAATCTTGCCTCTCATCATATGCTTCACACTAAGTGTGAGGAAGATTGTCATGCTTTGATTTTTCTACTCGCATCCCGCATTTGGACCTCGAGGACGAGGTCCAGCTGAAGTGTGAGGAGGTAGAATATCAGGTATGATTATATTCTAAAAAATTATTTTCTTGATCAATAATCAGTTAATGAATTAGTTTTCAATTACTTTACATTTTTCTTTTATTTTCTAATAAATTAAATAATCATTTACTCATTTTAAAGTTTAACAATGAACCTTTATTTAAAATTGTGCATGAGTTGGGTTTTAGTTGAGTAACTTAAGGTTGTTAATTACATAATGATTAAAAGTCTTTTGGTCACTTTCTCTTTAATTGAAATAAATAAAGAAAGATAATTGTGAGGGTTGCGCTTTAGTGACGAATTGGGAATCCTATCTCCGAAAGGAGCTCTGCTTCTCCTGTGAATCGCATAAGGCGAGGGAGCAAGTATGCATAAGTAATGGGATAAACCCACAACCCAAACAATTATTCCAATTGTTTGCGCTTATGTGCTGCGTTGAGTATTCTATCTCCTTTGGAGGTCTGCCCTTCTATTATTAAAAAAAAAAAGAAAAAAAAAGAAAAAAAAATCAATTCATAAGCAATAAAAAGGGCATTATGGGATAACTCACAAAAAAAAAAGAGATAAGTGGACCAAGAGACTACTTACGCAAACTTTTAAATAAGTTCATTGTCAAATCTTTGAAATGAGTGATGAGATATTTAGTTGTTAGAATATAAAGAAAAAGATGAAGTAATTAATGCTAATGAAATTAACTTATTATTGCAAGAAGGTAGGATTTTAGAAAATAATCAACAATCTTCTTTATTCTTGTGTTGGTAGATGATGAGTTGCTTGAGGGCAAGCAACATTTAAGTGTGAGGAGATTGATAAGTCAGTTTTGTACTTATCTTTTTACTCATATTTAATTTGTTCTTGTACCATTTTTATTATCAAAACAATAAATTATTTATTCTTTTTTATCAAAAACATATGTTTTGATGAATTGATCTTAAAAAGAATGTCTTTGAAATAATATATAAAATTGGGCCAAGTATAGAGAAAAAGAGTAAATTTTAATAGAAAAACAATTCTATCTCACAAACGGTGCGGAATTAGAAGTCGGTGCAGAAGGAAAAAATGTTCGGAACGAAATTTTGAGGAAGGTAGCATTGGCAGATTTTGGCGGCCTGACGGGCGATCTGGCCGGCGGCAGCCTGCCTGGCTGCCAGTCAGAAGGCGGAGGCGGCAAAAGCTCAGCAGACACCGAAGGAGAGAACGACCCGAGTCTAACTCGGTTATTTGTTGACTTACCGCTATATTTTAGCTTCGTCACACACCATGTATATAGTACTACATTAGTACACAAAATTGCGAATTCAGTATGCTAGGCGTGGTTTACCCTTGAATGAAATGATGAAAGTAAACCCGTAGAGAAACCACATATAAGAACAAATAAGATGATATGATATTTGACCGACGTTTTTAACAATTTATCTGAGTGAATGAAAGAACATGATCCCAGAATCGAATATTAGTGTTGAATATAAAATGCATTGAATCATAGTAACGGTTATTTTTATGAACGATGTGAAATATACCAAGCATCATTTATGAGGAGGCATATCATACATATTTGGAGGCAGTTTGTTGTTTTATCTCAAATTGGCAAAAGAGGCTGATGATTTTCTTTAGTTCAATTAAAAAGATAAGAAGTGAGTTATGATTAGTTTTCATTTTCAATTTTTTTTTTGAAATATTTTAGTATGTGCATTTCAACATTTGTAATATTTTAAAACAAAAATAAGAAAAAAGACATGTAACATTTGTGTGAAGGATTTAAATGACAAGAATGATGGACCGTAAGAGATTGGAATGAAGATTAACATGCCTTTGTAAGAAATTCCTAGGATTATTGTCCTTCGTAAGATTAGATGTTCTTTCATTATCCAAGCTTGACTTCGTAAGAAAGGTTTCTGAAGTTGATATGTGATGGGATTAACCCGATCAGATGGCGGACCAAGAACGAAATATGAATTTAAGGAGATATAATCACTCGATAATATTCTTTGATTGTGTATTCAATTGTCGCGTTGTGTCTTACAATGGCGGGTTTTTCCCCCTTTTATAGTCTTTCTCATATCATAATTAAAATTATACAAAATGGAAATGGATTATGGAGATCATGGGATTATGATTCCCTCTTTTCCGGTCTCGTTCTCTTCCCACTCCGCATATAGCCTCATGATGTGGGCCACGTGTCCCACTCCTTTCTTGGACTGGGTCACTTCAATTCATTCCATGACTAGGCCGTCTTCCTCTATCCGTCATCTGCGCAATATTGGGCTCGACCCATTGTTTAAACTGATTTTCCACCTTTTCGGGTTATTACAGGTCTCCCTTTGGGCCTGGCGACGTGTCGCTAGAAAACTAATGATGAGCCGCCTTCGACCTTCATGTCGGATTAGAAACGTCGCACTCGAGTACCTCGGGCCCACCCTTTCAACGGATAAAAACCCTCTTCTGGACTCGTCTTCTTCCTCTCACTATCGAATCTAAACCCGACCCGAATTCTGACTGCAATTTCCCCCAAAATCCTTGTCTCCTATTCCAGAATGGCCCCTACGAATCCTGAAACCTGGACCCTCCATTATCAAGGAGAGCGAACTTCGAGAGATGGCCGTGCTCCTGGGCAAGGGCTTCCGGGTCCACCATCCCAATGCCGTTGGGGGGATCAGTCTATCCTACAATCCAAATCCCCAGAAATATATGGTCATGCAGTACCACTCCGTGGAGAATGGATTTAGGTTGCCCCTCCACGGTCTGCTCTGCGATCTCTGCCTCCACTTCGGATTTGCCCCGGGTCAACTGACCGCCAACGCGCACAAGTATGTCGCGTCCTTCATCTTGAGGTGTTGTGCCCTGGACAGAGTCCCAAATTTGGAGAAATTCCTTATGCTCTTCAGTATTGGGGGGTTCCCCTTCTATAGCCTATATCCTCACAACCATTTCCCAATTTTTGAGAAGATTGAGCTCAAGATCGACAGATGGTCACTAAAATACTTCGTCATAGAGTTCCCTGATCACAGTCCCCTTGACCTTCCAGGTGCTGTTCTCCGGCGTTCCATTTCCCAGACGAAATTCGCCGCAGCAGACTTAGCGGAGGGAGTGTATAATACCTTGAGGGAGAAGGAGGGCTTAATTTCCCACCACTCTCTCCAAGATGCTAAACTGTACAAGAAGGCAGGTTTTTACTACCCCCTGGGTCCTGACCCGATTCCATTTGAAGGGGAGCCTTCCCCTGAAAGGGCAAAGGCTCCTCCTGCTGCAAAGTCTCCCCCAGCTGTGAGCTCCTTCGGGGATCAAGCCCAAGGTAGCTCCACTGCCCTGACTATCCACATGCCGGCTGCTGCCTTGAAAGCTGTGCCATTCCTGGGCTAAGGAGACCCACCCCGTCCCAGAAATGGCCACAGGAAGGTGTCTCCGATGATGATTTCCTTCCCAAAAAGAACAAGGGCGACGGTACTTCTGTTTCGCCTAGCCCCCTGTCCACTTCTTCCGGCACCCAGCATATCACTCCTGCTACTACATCCGGGGTCTTGGAGTTATCCCACCCGGATAGACTTGATTGTGAGGGAGAAGAGCCTAGGGACCAGTCTGCGCTCAGGAAACCCATAACGCAACCCCAGACTGAGGCGCCAAGTTCCTCGCCACACATCGCAACCAGTCCCCAAGTAACGGAGGAAGAAGGGATGAGGCAGAAAGAACCTGAGTCTTCCCCTACAGCAAAGAGGGAGGTTGAAGTGCAGACAGAAACGGAAGTCTCCCTCCCGGGGAAGGATGAAACCGGAGAGCAGGGGAACGCTGAAGCTCCTTCAGAGATGGAGAGAGAGACTGAAAGACAATCAGAGCCGGAGGGACAGTGCTCCACGGCCACATTCTTGGCCCCTAATATTCCCATCCGGCGCAGGTTCACGCCACAAACTTACCCCGCTTTCTCAGAGGGTTGGGAAGGCTTTTCCCGCGGTTTGAGATCCTTACAAGCTTCCCATTGGACTATCCAGGGGAATCTAGAAAGGATGAGGGGATCAGTACAAGAACCCACAATTCCCCAAGCTCGCTCTGATCTTCTTGCCCTCAATGCCCTGCACCTCATGGAACAGGTACCCTTCCTTTTCAACAATCTCTTTACCTCTTTCTGGGTTAGTTCTTTTCCTTGACTTCCCTTTCCTTCTTTCAGGCCCAGCAATCACTCCTCACTTTGACTGAGGAGTACCTGGGAGGAGCATCAGGGAACTTTCGGGCTGTTGTGCTCCTGAGGGAGAGGGAACAGGCTGCCAGGGCCTTACAACAGAAGGTCGACTCCCTGGGACAACAGGTCCGGGTCTTGCAAGAAGAGAATGCTCGGCTCAAGGCAGATGGCTCAATGGGGCTGGCAGCTGAGAGATCCAAGGTCCAGTCCTTACAAGAGCAGATTGCCAACTACCAAAAAGAAACCCAGGATCTGGAAGTGCAGTTTGACCGACTCCGGGCACAGATTTCCATCCTGGAATCCAGGATCTCGGCTTCAGAAGATCAGGTAGGAAGCCTGAAAGCTGAGCTGGCTGAAAGGGAATCCCGGATCTCTGAGCTAGAGAATTCCCTCCAAGAGGCCAAGTATGAGGGTTCCCGCCTTAACGAGCTTGCACTGAAGCACATGGAGGCGAGACGGCTTGACCTCGAGAAGTTGAAGAGAGAGAGGCAGGCTGCAAGTGAGCTCCGGTCAAAGGTGGATGAACAGGAGAAGACAATTGCCGCTCATCAAGAGGAGGTGGCCACCCTGGTTGCTCGTGCCGGAGCCCTCTACGAAGAGGGACAATTTGACATGCAGCAATGCATCTACGGGGCAGTCCAGAGTGGTCTCCCAGAGAACCGCACTTTGGATGATTTCATCTCCTACTATGGGTTACCCCTTCCTCTTTCTCCCCCAGTCTCTCGTGCAAACCCGGGACCTTGACTTCATCTTCCTTTGTTGACTGTTATATTTTGCCTTGTAATTATTTGGATGATAGTGAATTGATAACACCTGATGTATTTTTGTTCATGTAGACTTCTTCCATAAATCTGACTGTTCTTCCTTTTGGAACTCCTTGTTTCGCCCTAGGACTTAGCAGATTTTTTTATCCGCCTAGGCCTTGGGCCCAACCGCATTCATAACGCACTGTGTTCTTTGTTTATCATTGCACTAAGTGACTGGCCCACCTTAATTACGCCGGGCCCAACTCCCATTAGCCCAATAATAAGATGATGCAACCCTAATTTGCCTCGGGAATCCGCAACTAACTCCCAATTGGATAAGCACTTTGACTACGTGTCCCTTGCGCTTCTCTTTTGGGATTACTCGCCTATTTAAGGGACTAGGCTGGACTCTTCCAATATCACAATCAACTTCTCAACATGGCTAATAACGCCAATAGAGTTGTCTTTATTGGTCTTACTATTTCTGATTCTTCTTCTGATTCTTCTTCGTTGGCATTCCCTTCACTTGGGTCCCCAACGCCTAAACTTTCTTCTGGGTCTTCTCTTGCCTCTGAACAATCGGTGACTTCTCCCTTACCTAGGGAGGAGAATCACCCTCATCATCCCCCACGGGTATCCGGGGATATTCTCCCGGGTTCCGGCATGCTTTCAAACGGGGCCAGGACGGAGGTACCTTCTGACTGTCCTGGCACGTCCCGTCCGCAAAAGAGACGCAATCCTCACTCAGGAGCTTCCCGGTCGGTCTCTGGTACGAGGCCTTCTTCCCAGGGTCCTCCCTTCCCTCAGCAGTCCTATGGGCAGCAGCCCGAGGAGTGGGGGGACTACGACATGGGGGGAAACATGCTCACATCTATACGGAGGGAGAAGGATGGGGCCTTCCGGGATCCGCCTCCTCCTTCCGTATAAGCGGAGATAGGCCTGGAGTCTTTCCCTCATGCCCTATCGTCCTCCTGGTCTGATCGACTTCAAAGAGATGACCGGATGGTGCCGACGGAGGGAACGTCTTTCAATCCCAACCCGTTGGTTCCGTTTCATATCTTTTGAATGTCATCAAGGGAGACTGTTGGGCGCCCTCACGGAATGTCTGGATGGTTTCCGCGGGGATGGCTTTAGATCCGACCCGTTGGTATCATTCTACTTCTTGTGAATGTCATGAAGTGTCTTCAGCGGACACTCTCCATGCCTTCATGCCTTGAGGTTCTCTTCTGGTTCAGGCAGGGAAGCAAGGGCCAGCGAATTCACCCCTTTATATTCCTGAAGTGTTGATCCGCCTTGCCTTCAGTTTTTCTTTCGCAGTAGGATAGAAGTAGATCAGGGACAAAGTTCATCACTGTAACCCAAAAGAATGTAATTTTCCGTTTGAGTTATCTAATGAAAATCTTTATCTCCCGTCTTTTTCATTTCGTAGTTAGATCAGGGATAAGGCCCATTACTCTAACCCAAAAGAATGTAACCTTCT